CCAGACAATCATACCAAAGGCCTGGTCTCAAACTAGGGAATTTTCTGCATTATGAGTAGGCACCAAAGCAATGGAATTCACTCTCCTCCATCCGGTCTGGTTGTTCTAGGAAGTGAATTACGTTGCTGTGGTACTCATAGTACAGCGAATTCCCCAGTTTGAGACCAGGCAATTGATGTTGTTGTTTGGCACATTGTTATTATTATTATATCTATTTTAGACTCTCGCCTCTTCCAAGGCTTATTATTATTATTATAATTATTATTCTGACCAGAACCAATTTAGAATGTTCATTTCCCAAATTAGTCCTACCGGGAATCGAACCCGGGACTTCTTCGTCCAGTATCCACAATGTAAGCCGTGGTAACACAATGTAAAATATTTAGAAGGAAATGATTGATATTGAACACTAAGTTGCACCTAAAGAAATAAAAGTGGATGTGTAAAAAGAGATGAGGTGGATTAAGAGAATCATTTTCTTATCTCAATATTTTTAAATAGAGGTGCCTAGGGCAGTGATTGTAAATCAACACTGAACTAAGTTATTTCACGATTCGATTCCACTTTCCATTTAACATCAGGTGGTATATAAAAAAAATTAAACTTACAAATGTCATTTCAAAATGTGGCCAAGATGGGTCCATGAAGGTGCCAACTGCCAAATCATCACCAATTGAGGGTACAAGGTATAACCCTTCCACAGAAGGGTTTCTATAAACATATGAGCTATGGTAATGATTAAGGCCAAGGAAGTCGGCTGATCCTTTTAAATACTTTATTTGTTCATTAGAAAAAGGACGCAGTCGAGAAACGTTCAGTCCTTGCCGAACGCTTGCTGCTGCGATTCTATCTATCATTATTTGTGGGTAGTTCCCTTCCTCAGAAAATATGGGATGCATGTAATGAGCGATCTGCAAACGATAAACATTTTTTTTTTTTAAACATGTCACATTAAATTTTATGGCAATGAATCAGAAACAAACGAAATACTATATCTTATTTCATGAAGAGATTTATACTGTTTAAAAAAATGTACATCAATTGGAATGGTATACATGCATAACGAAAGTTGTAATGAAATCAATTCGATCAATAACAACACTTTAGGTTTCAGAATCAGTCAATTTGTAATTAAAGTAGACCTGTGTCGATCGATCAATTCTGATTACCCGGGTCGATCATAACTCATGCTTAATGTGATACAGTCAGGTCAAATGATTCATCATATTTTTGATCCTTTAACGGGTCACACCGAGTCACACGTCCCTCACGATACTTCCATAAATTTTCGTTTCGTAAGAGACATTGTTAACTGCCTACGTGGCCAATTGGTTACCATCCTGGACTACCACGCAGAGTTCGTGGGTTCGATTCCCGGGCTGGGAGAAATATTTGTATAGCCTACATTTATTTCACTCGTGAGTTTGGGCGTAATTTGTGGTTGTCTACCTGTGTGTACATGGCACCCGCGATACAGTTTTCCCTAGTACGGGGCTGTGAGTGTATGCGTAATTATTATCACATATCATTATTATTACTATGCTACGGAGCAACTATGATGGTTGATTACCCGTCCGTGATTGATTGAATTGGGATTAAAATTTCTCTAAAAGTCTTTCAAACGAATTATATATCGAACAAATGTTCGACCCAATCAAATAATATAAAGAGCGAGATAGCGAACCAAGACGTGGGGATTTCGCGTGAGAACGAATGAAATAACCATAACATTATCAGTTGGTGAAAAACCTCTAAAATTATAAACAAAAAGTTAAAATTTGCTAGAATGACCCGCACCCGATCAAACAAAAATGATCGTAGCTCTAACGGGATCGAATCTTTTAGAAACCGCGACCCGGATCATCGGGTATAGGTACTGTTCGAATCATTTTGATTCGGTCGAATGCGATCGATAGAATTATAAATTAAAGATGTACAAGCACTTCTTAATGCTGAAGAAACTGTTTAATGTACACACACATAGACAACCAAACAAAATAAAAAATAAACTGATAGTTTATACATATTTCAATGATATTATAGTTAGTAACTCGGTAATTAATCTAATTGATTAGGATATCCTTTAAAATATTAAAAGAGTCATTCAGACAATCTTTATCAACTTCATGAACTGTTCAAATAATAAATTAATTCCTACATCAATTTTGAATCATTAACATAGTGTCTGTGTCCGTAGTTTTAATAAAGCAATTAAGTCAATCACTTTACTAAGTATACAGTATTTACATACATATAATAATGATTTATAGCACTTGAAGAATCCTGTCCATAAATGGACTCATTTCGAAGGAAAAACTTGTAAGTCTAATAAGGTCTAAATACAATTGTTAGTCTTGGCTGCTAACAGTCTGACTGCATGTTTGCGATGAAGTCGTAATCAACTTCCCGCAGCCGAGACCTCGATTGCGTGAAGTTAATAACAACTTTACGCATTAACTGCATGCAGTCGAAACTCAACTGTATGCAAAAAAAATCGCGTCGATTTAAACGATAGACCGAGAATCAAAAGTAGTAACTGAGATTCTTACAACGATTTATGTTTTTGCAACTGAAACAACTTTTTTTAAATAATGGTATTAATTGTATTAATTTTAGTAGCAGTAGAGCTCCTTGTGAAAGAGTTCGTCCAGGGTAGTACTGCCAACTTCGGAGCCTGGATTGTACGGCCTCCCTCGTCTGGGGGCCGGTCGGAGGACAACTGACCTGCCCCTCAGTTGGCGCGGGAGCCCTGGCGCAAGCTAGGGCGGCGGGGGCGGCGTTGTGGTGAATGTACACCGACCCCACGGCGCCGACTCAACCGGCGTCAGGTACACCCTGGGGGGTTTTAGTTGGGTAGACCCTCCAGCCTGGAGGGAGAGTCCCCACATAATTCCTGAGTCTCGGGTACGGTACGGTACATAAAAATCAATTTCTCTATAGCAACATAACATTAGTGGATCTATTACTGGATGGTTTTCGTATTTGGCTTCGATTACGCCGGCGGCGACGTAACAATAACAACAGATATAGCATTCGTGCTTCCGTCTCGATGTCAACTTTTATACTGAGCTCCTGAGCTAGGCGCGCGGCGATAACCGCATGCAGTTGATCTCGACTGTCTCGCATGCAGTTCGTTTAGTAGCAGCCTAAGATTATGAAATGCTTTAAGTTTCGCTGTATTTGTGCGTTCCGAGAAAAAATATCAAAATTCGGTGCCGCTTCGAAAATCATGGGAAATACGAGACTACATTATAAAAGCACTTCGTAACTTACGTGGAAAGCCGCATAATCGCGTGCAGCCTCAATATCTTCAGTTGAATTCGTTGCTGGCATTCCCCATTCCATACTGATAACAAAGCCGACCAGGCCACCTTGAGACGCTCTAAATTCATCGTCATAAATGTGATAGGCTCGTGCATTTGCTAATAAATAATGTCGCCCACATTCGTAATAGCCTTCTCCTGGAGAGTACAGCATAGGGGCGTGTAAACCAAGACCATGTCCAAAGTAACAATGGATAAAAGGTTCATTGAGAGTCAACCAATGCTTAACTCTGTCTCCAAAGTTCTCGTACAGGACTCTAACGTAATCTCCGAACCAATCCACAATTTCTTCATTTAGCCATCCTCCTCGTTCCTGGAGACTTTGCGGCAAATCCCAGTGGTACATTGTTACAAAGGGTGTAATATCGTTCGCTAACAATTCATCAATAAGATTATTATAATATTCTATTCCTAGAGGATTTATATAATCTGGCCGGCCAAAAGGCATGATCCGCGGCCATGATATTGAAAATCTGTAGTTGTTGACTCCCAATTCTTTGAGCATCTGAACGTCTCTTTTATAGAAGTAGTAGGAATTCGCTGCGATGTCTCCATTGGTCCCATCAATTATTGATTTAGGTTTAGTATGCACTAAATGATCCCACATTGACCATCCCTTACCTAAAAAGAAAAGATAAATAAAATTCTTCTTGGGTCATTATCAATGGTTGGAAAAAGGAGTTCTGGTGGATATAGCTACATAGAGTTGTTAAAACTACCAAATATTAATTAATTACTTTTTTCGAATTCCGGAGTTCCGGATGAAAGAACCTCGTCTCTTTATTATATTTATGAAGATAAATGGCTGTCAAAAATGGCACTGTTTCGTCTTGTATAGGTAAGCGTCCAGCAGTTATTTTCATAAAAAGTATGAAAATAGTCAAGGGTGAACATTTTTCATTTCAAATACGATATTTCTGCTATTGCTTCGAATTTATGAACATCTGTTCAGTATTTTTGATTTCAATAAAATATTTTTAGAGCGCGATCACAACGATTCTTATGCGAAGTAAAATGTACTAAAAGTCGCCTCTTAAATAAAATTTAATTTTTTTTCTGAAGTTCTACAAGCAAATGTCACCGTTCTGTCAATATCCGGTATCTAAAACTAGGGAAGGGCGGAGAGTGACCGTTATCGTTACTTTCTAACTCTCTGTTTTGGTGAAAGATTAGTTATCTACAGCATTTTTACATGACACCAATAGAATTACTTAAAATCCAACTTTGAATTCCTAAATCAGTAGTTTTGTCCTACGATGCAGTAAAACCATTTCTGGAAATCCGGAATTCAAAACAGTAATTAATTAATATTTGGTGGTTTTAATAACTCTATGTCGCTCCTTGTAGTTATATCTGTATATGTAATCTATATGTGTGGAAAAACTTTTATTGGTCATTATACATAGAGATGAAACACTGAAAATTGCAAAAACATTACACAACACAACGAAATAAAATCAAGCAAAGGCGAAACAAGAATCTATCATTAAGAAACATGACATTCAGATTAAAAATAACAATAATGACTTTTCGATGCCTATAACGCTGTAGGTACCGCTGCAGAACAAGAAAAATGAAACAATGGGATTGGAAATATTTGCAAGCTCATGAAATGTGACGCTCGAAATAAATTAAAATAATTATTTGGACACAGAAAAAATGACCCTTAGAGCATTAGTGATTTTCCCTGCTGTGATTTTTTGCGTTGCGAGATCGAAAGTCGTAGTATAAATTGCCAAAATAGATATAATATAAGTATGGAATATTTATTGACCTCACTAGCTCGAAAAAGCTTTCTTTCTCATTAGAAATCTCGGTGCAAAATGTTTTTTTGCACACTAGCGTGGAAAAGGTTTTTGAAAATCCACAACAAATCCACCTAACTGTTTCTTTCGATAAAAAAAGATTATGACACGTTCAATTACGCGATTTGTCGTACATTATTTATTTATATAATATCAATCCGTACGTATATTTTGTTCTTATTTATTGTTGACATTAAATTGTCAATGATAACTACTTGTGTTTATTAAATTAACCACACAAAATAAAAGTATACAAGCAAGAATGAAAATTGGTATGTGTAAATTCAGAACGCATCCGAAGATAAACTTACTTTAAAACACTGATATTTCAAAGTTTAACTATTTTTGTTTCATCTACCATTTTCCTCGCTATAGTGAGGTGAAAAGTTGTGTGTTTCGCTCGGCCTCAAAGTTGTTTTACGTCAGGACTTGAGTATTGCAGTGAGCACTGAAAATCATACTCAAGTCCTTGTCATTAGGGTCGTATTTCCAGTGCTTGAAATCATACTCAAGTCTGCTCAAATCCTGACTTGAGCATTGAGTAGAGTTCTAGAATACGACACTTAGCTTCCTTCGCGTGCTCAGTTCTTTCACGTTTCACATTTAATTGAATAAAATAATGCCTCTTTGAAGCAAAATATCCTATCTACAATATTGAAAGTACTTTCCCTAAGTGTACCATTGTCGTGAGACGCCTTGTATAAACTATTATATTGCCGTCATTTTTTTAGTTTAGTTTATGTTGACATATCACTAATATTGTTAAGCTCATACATATACTTATATATACATATATATTATAAAACATAAATTTGAATATTTCAATATGCATTTGACCTCTATCACACACGATGGAAAGTGCCGTTGAGATCGGCGGTGGAGCATGCTCATTGCACTCCTATATAACCGCCTTGAAAAGTCCAAGTTATAGCGTTCAGGGAATAAGCAGCCAGGGAAGCGTAGGGGTGGAACCCAAGACTGCCTCTACTCCCCCGGTGATGGAAAAAGGAAGGCGGATTAAATCCTACAATTTCATTGCACTCTTCGTGATACCGACCTGTAGAATACCGATAAGCACGTAACTTTACTCACCTATAACCCTCTCAATATTCTTTAAGGATGTTTTGTTTAAATCTAGATGTTGAGTTCGATTATTAATAATAATTAACGTATTTAACTCTTACCGTCTACATTCCAAGCACCTTCAATCTGATAGGCCGCTGTTGCCACGCCAAATTCGAACTCGTCAGGGAATCTATTAACTGGCGATCTTTTTTCTCTCGAAGTGTCGGCAAATGTTGACACTAAACTGCAAAATTATATAATTGATACTCAATAATTGTTAAACGTACCTATCACCTGCTTAGGACGTTTTAAATAATACTTTTAATTGTTCATTAGACTGATGATTCTCAAAGTGTGCATTGTATATCTGTATTGAGACCTAGGGGTCCACTTATAAAGGGTCCACCCACGAAGGGAACCCATGTAGGCAGGTCGCGACCATAATGACTCAAATTTGTTTCTTGAATAAATAATCCACATTACATAGATAATACTTGTGTATATACGTAATACTTTCTTATAATAGACATATAAATAAAGTATAAAGTATACATTTCACAACAAACAAGATATTTGATTAGATAAATATTAGATATATATTACAAAACTTAACATGTAACTTTTTTATAAGTTTTAACGGGCACACACTCATAGCGCCGCACTAAGGAAACCGTGCATCTCTGGTGCCATGGACACACACATAGACAACAACAAATTACACCCAAACTCACGAGAGAAATAAATGTAGGCCATACAAATATTTCTCCCGGCACGGAATTCGAACCTGGGACCTCTTGCTTGGCAGTTCAGCATGGTGACCGTTCGGCCACGGTGGCAGTTAAACTTGTCAAAGTGAGTAGCACTGTGTAAGCTCTCAAAAACTCATTTCGCATATGACAACTAATATAGTAATTTCAAAAATGGTGTTATATTATAGGTATTTTATCTCAAAAATTGCATTATACTTATGTCATTTGTATACGGTTTAATTTAAATCCATTATAGAAAGGCCGGGGTATTCGCAAAACAGAAAAAAATTGAAATGGGGCCTACGAAATAAAAAAGTTTGGGGACCTCTGGTTCCACACAGTAATCGTGAAATTTTACCTTAGATGATGGAAAAAAATAAAGGAACAATAGTCTAAGCATTTTACCGACACGAAACGTACTCCTACAGATTATGTAACTCACGTTACGATGTACGTACAAGGTGAAATTTTTTAAAGCCTATACAGGCTTTCAAAAATTTCAGGTCAATCTTAAAGTCGTACAATTTTTAAATTAAATTAGTAATGTAGATCATGTTGGGAGTACAATTTTTATTTTATTTTTATTTTCATTTCATTTTGTTTTATTTTAATTTTAAAGATTATTTTAGTTTATCTTACTTTATTGCAATTTAAAAATTTTTATGTGATTTTACACTAATATTTCACTTTTCAGTTTTTAATTTTATTTTATTCAATATTAATTTTATTTTTCATTGTGTTTTATTTTACAACATTTCTAAATATTAAACTATAAACTAACCTACAGAACCTTATGTTCTGTAAAACTAACTAGTGGACTTATGTTGCCTTGAATAAAGAATTATTAAAATTTCATCGATAAGAAATGCAAAAAACACAAGTATAGGAACGGCGTAAGGTGGAATTTTGTCAGTGCGATGTTTCACTGATTCAGAAGGAGCCTCCCAGCACGACTGTTCGTTTCTGGTACGTCTGGAACACGCCGGGGAACAATTGGCACCTTACGTCGAATGGCTAATCCTTCCACCACGGTGTCAAGCATTATTGTATGCATACCATCGATACAATAACAAGAAAACAGATTCAGAAATTATGATTACTTTGTGGAGCACCTTGTGAAAGAGTTCACGCTGGAAAGCACTGACACCATAACCTATTTCTGCCGCCATGCGATAAATGCATTATATCGCACTGCTATTACAATAGTGTTGTAACTCAAAATTCGTGAAATTCAAGATTATTTTTTTTTTTTTTTTTATAAAATATAGGTGCGCATTTGACCTCCATCTCACCTGATGGAAAGTGACGATGAGGTCGACGATGGAGCATGCACACCTAAATAATGCCTATTCACTCTCGCCTTGAAAAGGTCCAAGTTATAACGTTCAGGGAACAAGTCTGCAGGCAGGGAATTCCACTCCATAGCCGTTCGCCATATAAATGTGGAAGCGTAACGCTTCGTGCGAATCTTTGGAATATCCACAACATAGGGGTGGAACCCTAGCCTACGCCTAGTCCCCCGGTGATGGAAAGGGGAAGGCGGAATTAAATCATGTAATTCCATCGCACACTCTCCGTGATATATCCTGTAAAATACCGATAAGCAGGCAACTTTACGGCGGTGTTCAAGGCTCTGCAGCTTCGCCTCCACTAATTCCGAGTCACCTATAAGTCTCTTGGCACGGGTGTCAATTGAATCCAAAGTGGCCAGTTGATATGTCGCAGAGCCATCCCAAAGGTGGCAGCAGTACTCCATGCACGATCGGACTTGTGCCTGGTACAGCTGGAGCAACTGTCCCGGTGTAAAGTACCGCCTCACCCTGGAAAGGATCCCAAGCTTCCTTGCTGCATTTTTGGCCGTGGATTCAATGTATCTGCCGAAGTTCAAATTGGACGACAGGTCCATTCCAAGTAGCTGGAGACAATCGGCTATCGGTATGGATATATCACGAAAAGTCGGAGTCAGCTCAAAGGGACTCCGTTTTGTGGAGAATAGACACGCCTGCGTTTTGGTAGCGTTAAATTTGACAAGATTGGCATTGCCCCAATCGGAGACTGCCTGGAGTGTCAAATCTAAACGGCTAACCATGGACTCTCGACAAGACTGGATTTCCTCTCCACTGACCCTTGCATTGGTCAAGTACCTATCTACAACTGTGCTGTCATCAGCATACGCAAAGGTACCTGGAATTAACATATCATTGATATGCAGCAGAAAGAGAGTTGCAGACAGTACGGAACCCTGAGGAACTCCGGCATCTATCGCCATATGTTCGGAAGAGTAGCCTTCTAAGACCACTCGAATCGAACGTTCGCTCAAGAAATCCGAGATCCAATTGCAAAGGTCAGTGGGAAGCCCATAAGAGGGAAGCTTGCTTAAAAGGCTTGCGTGCCAGACCCTGTCAAAGGCTTTAGAAATGTCCAAAGACACTGCAAGTGCTTCGCCTTGCTTTTCTATAGCCTCGCTCCATATGTGACAGGCATACACAAGAAGATCCCCAGTAGATCGCCCTCGTCGGAATCCGTACTGGCGATCACTGAGGAGATCGTTGTCTTCAAGGTACGATAGGAGACGGTTGTTGAGTACACGTTCCATAGTCTTGCAGAGTATGGAAGTGACTGAGATAGGTCTATAGTTGACAGGGTCAGCTCTGCTTCCCTTTTTTGGTACAGGTTGCACGTTTGCAAGCTTCCACGATCTGGGAACTACACCAGTCTCAAGTGAGAGGCGGTACAGGCGTGTGAGAACAGGAGACAACTCAGGTGCACAGTTACGAAGGACTATTGCTGGAATTCCATCTGGCCCGCTAGCTTTATTCACGTCTAGATTTCGCAGAGTTCTAAGTACCTCTTTTTGGCGTATGCGAACTGGCGCCATAGTGCAGCCAGCCTGAGGTAAAGTAGGTGGTAGGGTCCCTGCGGCATCTAGACGCGAATTTTCTGCAAAGAGTGAGGCAAAGAGATTCGCCTTCTCTTCCGCAGTATGAGCCAGCGAGCCATCCGGCCTCAGCAGAGGTGGCAAAGATGGGCGACAAAAGTTCGATTCGACCGCTTTGGCCAGGGACCAAAAGGATTTGCTGCCTGCTGGATAAGAGGCAAGCTTGGCTCCTATGCGGCGCACATGGTCGAACTTGGCCCTACGTAACATGCTTTTGCACTTCTTGGCGGCCTTATTAAAAGCTTTCTTCATGTTCTGAGTACTCGGAGTTTTGCGTAGTCGAGCATCTGCCCAAGCTTGGTACGCGGACTGTTTACGTGCTTCAGCACAACTACAATTAGCGTTAAACCATGGACGAGCTTGGGGTCCATTGGGTACATCAGAGTATGGAATGTAATACTCCATACCCAAACGCAAGACCTCGACTACAGCATCAGCACAGCTCGACGAGTCTCCTGAAGTAAAGCACGCCTGCCAGAGATATGACGCAAAGAAATGGCGCATTTCGTCCCAATCTGCTAACTTGTATCGCCACACCCGTCTCATACCACTAGGGCCCTGATCGGGTGGGGAGTATACGGATACAGTTTTCACCAGACAATGGTCGGAAGTACCCAGTGGGGCCTCCACAACCACAGAGTATCGGTCCGGATCAGTTGTCAGCAGAAGGTCCAAGCAATTAGCCGTATGAGATTCAACATCTGGTATCCTAGTGGCGCCACTGACAAGCTGGGATAAGCTTAGCGTTAACGCAAGTTTACGCGTCTCTCTCCCAGCGTGATCGGTCTTCTGGTATGGGAACAACCATTCTTGATGGTGTGCATTAAAGTCCCCCAGAATGACTAGTTGCGCCGCTGGGTACCTATGCTGAATCTCATCAGACGTCTCACTTAGATATTGGAACAGCTTGGTCGTCTCCTGATCTCCACTGTGCGATCGGTAAACACAGCAGTACACTATTTGTGTAACTCCTGTGTCAACCAGAAGCCACAAAATTGAAAAACTCGGTGCCTCAAGGTTCTTGAGACGCTTGACACAGATGTCATCGCGAACGTACACACAGACTCCGGCACGAGGTACGAACCTGTGCTCCAGAGTATACCCGGGGTAGCTGAGGTACGCTGCGTCAGTCGGACATCTGATCTGCGTCTCTGTGAGGAACAGCAGCTGCGGTTTGTCGGTTTCAAGGTGGTAGTGGACCGAATCGAGATTTGAGTGCAGACCTCGGATGTTAGTGAGGTGCACTTTTAGTGGGAGGACGTGCAACCGCTGTGTATACTTTTTTCCATTTTTATAGTTTTTCATTTTTGGATTTGGAGAAGTGAATAGGCAGGAGGAAGGCAGTTGAACGAGGCACTGCGTCGTGTTCAACCAAGCAGCAGACTCATACTGCCACACGAGGTTACAATCGGCTTGGAGACCGCGGGGACGCCCGAACCCCCCCGGAGATGGCCACCTGGTCCTCCCTTCCGGTCGCCAACCGGCAAGGTGGAGCATTCCGGGATTTTTCGTTGGGTGGCGGGGCAGCCTTTCACGGGTGGCTTTCCCGCTACTTGGGCCCCCAACTTCCCACGGTCGGCCAGCGGTGCACCGTGCTTCGGATCCCGCTAGCCTCCAGAACCGAGTGCTCAGTGTGGCAGTACAAGCAGCTACAACTCGCCGTCAGACGCAATGCAACTGTTCAGACCCGACCTCCAAATGGCAACTCCCGAACACGAGTCGGAACACGGTAAAAACCATTTGGCGACTCGACTG